AGTTTAGGGGAAGAATGACCAGGAAAGATGTGACAGATGGTGATGGACAACAGAACATTTGGCCCAGAGTGAAGTAAATTAGAAATGTCAGTTCCGACTGGTTTTTGGCAAAGGTAAAGACCACATCTTCTCCAGGTTTGCTCTCAGAGTTTGCTTCCCACATTTAACACCCCGATGGCTGAGGGGCCACACGTGCCAGCTTCCTGCCCTCAGGCTGTTGGAGCTCCTAGGGTGTGGGATGGGCTCAAGGAACTTGTTTATAAAGTAGAAGAAACTGCCCTGGGCAGAGCATTCCATCAGCTGACATGATGAAGGCAACACTGCTTGTGCTGGCCTTGCTGGTGACCAGAGAGCTGGGCATCCAGATGGGTAAGAATAGGAAGGAGAGAAGAGATGACCTTCCTGATCTTTGCCCTACTCTGTCTCACACCCTGCCGCCATGGGGATCTCTGGGCAGCTTCTAGCAGCAAATTTAGGGATCAGCTGGGAGATCACTGCCCAGGAGTCCTGCAGAAAGCCCCCGAGGTTTCCAGTCTCTCAGTGGAGGGAGAGGCTTGGAGATGGAGGTCAGCAGCTATGCACACACAGGGGCAGTGATGGGGTAGTGGTGCTTATTTGAAGGCCCCATGGTCAGGGGCAGTGGGGCTCTAACCCTAGCCCCTCTTACTGCCCCTCTCAGCTGGGAGTGCCTCTCAGAGAATGTGCACTCTGTCTGGAGTGTAAGTAGTCCTGGGAGAGGGCAGGTGTCATGGAAGGTGAGTCAGGAAACCTGGCTATGTGAGTTATTTTCAGGTGGTGGGGAAACAGGAACCTTTCACCCTGGGATTCCTTTGAAGGGGTGTTTTTTATCTGTTGTCTTCAGCGGAAGCTTGCCCTGTTTTTTATGGAATCTTCGGTACGTTGGCTGCTGGAAGCAAGTTACTGTTGGATGTCAGCCTTGATCTGGTCCACGCTACCCAAGCAGAAAAAGTAGCCCTTGAAAAAATCCAGGACTGCTACAATGAGGCGGGAATCAAATCCAAGATCTTGGATCTGATCGTCATGGTAATTTATTCTCCTCCCTCCAGCCCTCACTCTGGCGACATGCATACATCATATTACAAAATGTCACATAAAAATAGACCATGACACCATGGGGTACATGACAGATAAGAGCTATAGTCAAGCTCATAAATCTAGCTCCACTCCACAGCATATATAACATACAACCACATGCTACATGCACATCCAACCTGTTCTTCTATCATACATGTCCCTATTGTGCCGATTAGCTCACACAACTGGAAACAGGGGACTAATGCCAGTGTAATATAGAAAGCATGTTGGCTTATGTGATTTTCCCAGATTAGGGGAGCTAACATTGCAGAAGAGGGAGAAATAGAAACATCAATAATTTAACCTTTGGCAGGAAAGAGAGACTTCAGTTCCTGCACAAGTAGGAGTCCTGATGCTCTATTTTAGAAATATAAAAAATGAGCACTGCCCTGGCCAGCGTGGCTAAGTGGTTAGAGTGTCGGCCTACGCATGGAGAGTTGCGGGCCCAATTCCCAACCAACAGCATGTACCTGGGTTGCAGGTTCAATCCCTGGCCTCAGTCAGGGAGCGTGTGGGAGGCAATCAATCTCGATGTGACACATCAATGTTTCTCTCTTCCATTCAATGGAAAAAATATCCTTGGGTAAGGATTAACAAAAAAACAAAAACAAAAAAATGAGCACCACTTTTAGACTCTTCCCAGAAGGGACTCGCTGGCTTTGCAAGGCTTCTGGCTTTCAGTCTGTTTCACTTCCTCTTGTGCCCACCTTGATGACAATTCTTCCGGCTCTGAGCCCCACTTCCACCTCATTGTTGCAGTGCCCACAAGCCAGAATTCCTACTATGTCGTGTTAGTCCCAAGGTCCCTAAGACACCTTCTACTTATGGGTAACTGCTCACCAGGGCTATCAATATACCTCCTGATGAGCTGTCTTTATTGCTCTTTTTACACAGTCACGTGGATTTTGAACAGTCTCTGTCCCTTACTCTATTTCCCCTGAAGTGCTTACTGCAAAATGAGAGGTTTTTCAAGAAGCAGAGTTTCTTGCATTAAGGTAGGCACACAGGGCACATGAGATTGTTTACAACACATGCATAAACATTCATCTGATGCACCTGACGAGTCTTAGGTACAGGAGAGACCACAGAAACTGACTCAGCCACCTTGACACTCTCTTAGGCCCAGCCCCACCATACCCTCCAGAACCATCTCATTTCTTTCCCTTTCTGGTTCTGTTGGTTGTTGAAACACCTGACCAATACCTGTGCCTGGGCAATTAGGAGCCATCCTCATCCTGGCCTGACTGATCACAGCCCCTCCAGTGGTGGCTGTGGGCCAGTGGTTCTTGCTGGGGATGGAGCTCAGTCACTGACGGGGAGGAGTGGGAGTGATCTGGGGAGATAGGATAGCTCTGCTGGGGGATCATGTCCTCTTCTCTTGTTATCTTACTCTCTTCAGGGCACTATCACCACCAGCAAGGAATGCATCCACTACGCAGTGGACACGATAAAGAAGGATGTCACTGAACTTCTAAACTGAACTGTTTTGGGAGGTGAATCTTTGCCACTGATGCCTGCTCTGAGCTCAGTCTTCCTGCCATTCTCACCTGAACTTGGAATCCAGACACCTGTCTGCATCAGGCTGACTCTAATAAAGCAACTACAACTCAGGCCTGTGTGCTGCATCTGCACTGTGTGGGGGTTGAGGGGTAGGAGGGAGGGTAGGGAGAATACATGAGGCCTGCAGGGAATGTTGGAAGGTGGTGAGGAGTGACATATAGTTAAATTATGGGGACTGAAGTCAGGCAGAACCAGGGTGAGTTTAGGCCCTGTCACAGACAAGCTCTAAGACTTTGGACAAGTTGTTTTGTCTTTCTGAGGCTAGTCCCTCATCCATAAATGGGCATTGTATATGAAGATGAAGTTAAGAAACAAATGTAATTCCAGACTTGACTGGCCTGGAAGGACAAAAATGTTGTCAACAACTACAGACGCATCTCTCTGACTCTGGCATTTATTCAAACACTCATTTCATTCTTCCCAACAAAAGAGCTTGAATGGAGGTTTCTCTCAGGGCTTATCCAAATTGGTCTGAAGTAGAGGTGATGCAGATAAACTGACACTGTTGACCCTATCCTCAAATCATTTTTTCTCATTTCTGTGATATATCTGAGTGATTAAATCTTTCACCTGGATACCAGGGCTTTGGAGAAGGCCTTTTGTGTAGGTGGATCATTGTCAAATTGAAGTTTTTGTGAGAATGAAAACTAGAACCTTCTATTCCACTATCTTGTTGATGTCGCATGTATGTCATAGTTTTTTGTTTTTTTAAAATATAGTCTTGATTTCTGAGAGGGAGAAATAGAAACATCAATAATGAGAATCATTGATCAGCTGCCTCCTGCACACCCCCTATGGGGATCGAGCCCACAACCTAGGCATGTGACCTTGACCAAAATAGACCCCAAGACCCTTCAGTACGTAGGCTGACATTCTATCCATGGAGCCAAACCAGCTAGGACTGTCTTAGTCTTTTACGTCCTAAGTTAAATGGAAGAAAAGGATTCATTCTGTGTTCCTATGGCATTCAAATGATGCAGATTCCCTGAAAGGCACCATTTATAGATGAAAAAAAAAAAAAAAGATCAAAGAAATAATCTAATTGCTTAAATGGACAAAAATGGCATCACCTGTTCTAAGTTAGGAATTCAGGTTTGTCCCTGGTATCTGTGCTGTTTAACCACAAAGCTTCAAAAATTGTTTTTAAAGGTCTTAATTCAGGCTTGACAGTGGTAATAACAATACCAATAATAAGTAGCCACATCAGCAGTGGTAATAACAATACCAATAATAAGTAGCCACACCTGTCAACCTACACCTGCTCAGGGATCAACAGATCCTGTTCTCATTTTTGTCATACATGAAGTCAATTGTTGGGTCCAAGTCCCTCTGCTAGGGATGGGACCTCCTTGGAAGCTAGGAACAGGAAGAAGAGAACAGCCACAGGTAGATGGGACATGCTTTATTGCAAGCAAAGCAGCTGCTCAGTAGCACATTTTATACTAACTCAGACAAAAGAGGCTTCTTGCTAAAATACTGACATCAGTGTTGCATGACACATAGGTACCCCTGCACAGTGCATACAGTAAAACTGCTGTCATTGCCTTTGAGCGCGCGTGGTATGGCAAATAGGCCTTTAACATCCCGGGCACTCTGGGCAGGGTCCCCCACCATTTACTCTCATAAGAGCCCTGTGAAGTAAGCACTAAATTACCCATTTACCAATGTGGAAACTAAAGCAGAGGCAGGTTTAGTAAGAGACGGCTCCCAGCTACAGGGCTGGGATTCACACGGAGTTAGGGCTCCAGGGCTCTACACTGAACAGGAAGTACCCCACAGCCCTGCCAGAAGCCAGCAGCCTTGGAGAAAACAGGCCGTGGAGGTGCAAGATAAATGAGAGGATTTAACCAAGGGAACAGGAGAGCAAGGGAAAGGCTTTTTTTTTTTTTTTTTTTTTAAATGTTTTTTAATTGATTTCAGAGAGGTAGGAAGAGGGAGAGTTAGAAACATTGGTGATGAGAATCAATGATCAGCTGCCTCCAGTACACCCTCTCCTGGGGATTGAGTCTGCAACCTGGGGATGTGTCCTGGCCAGGAATCAAACTGTGACCTGGTTCACTGAGACACACCAGCCAGGCAGGAAAGGCATTTTGTCTATTTCATGAAGTCATAAAAAATATTCTTCCTTACAGTGAGAATCCTATTATGCTGGGTAAAGATGAATATTAAGTGAATGCCAGTCTACCTTTAATGGTTCATCTCATGTGAACCTGTTGGTGTTGTGTGGTATGACTTGAGAATAAAAGCTTTCCCATACTCAAAGCTCTCCAGTGAATCTTTATGTGTTGACTTAAATTATAGTAGTAGCAAGTCTTTCCCATAGACTTTGCATTTAAAGGGTTTTTATCCAGTGCGAGTCATATGAATACAAGATGAGTGTGGTTGAAGGCCTTTCAACATTTATTGGATTCACGGGGCTTCCCTCCAATGTGAACCTTCATGTGTTGATGCAAATTATACTTGGAGCAAAAGGTTTTCCCACATTCTTTGCACTTAAAAGGTTTCTCACCAGTATGAATCCAACTATGCTGGACAAAACCAGAGTGGAAGAAAAAAGATTTGCCACATTTAGCGCATTCATAGGGCTTCTCTCCTGTGTGAATTCGCTGGTGCTCTGTGAGGTGCGACTTCCGGCAAAAAGCTTTCCCACATTCACTGCACTCATAGGGTTTCACTCCAGTATGAATCTGCATGTGTTGACCCAAATTAAACCTGTAGCAAAATGCTTTCCCACAGTCTTTACATACAAAGGGTTTTTCTCCAGTGTGAGTTTTCTGATGCTTAATTAAATTAGACTGATGGATGAAGGCCTTTCCACATTTGCTGCACTCATAGGGCTTCTCTTCAGTGTGATTCTTCATGTGATGCCTGAGAGCAGAATTGTTGTGAAATGTTTTCCCACACTCTTTGCACTCAAAAGGCTGTTCTCCAGTGTGAATCTGCTGGTGCTGCATGAGGTCTGATGTACAGCTGAAGGTTTTCCCACACTGTATGCACTCATAGGGCTTTGCTTTTGCATGAACATAGTCACATGCAAGATCCCAATTCTTGGTGTTCCTGCACTCACTATATTCATAATGGTTCTTCCCAGTTTGATTCCTGGGGTCTTTAACTAGTCTGTGTGTTTCACTTTTATGGAGAACACCTACTAGAGAGACTTGCTCCTGTAAAACCTTTGAGGGTAGACTATTATCTGACCCCAAATCATTGCATTTAGGGTTCATCTTCCCAGGGCCAGTCTCCTTGTGGGGATCTGTCACTGGCCGTAAGACTCCTTCCTGCATTTCTGACAGCCCTTCCAGAGTTTTGTTTTTTCCAGTCCTGGAGTCCCTTGAAGCTCTCCGTCTCATCCATACCCGAAGCGAGGATCCCTCAGACAAGAGCAGTGGAGAAGAGGTAGTCTCTGATTTTCCTCTGGCCCCTGAAAAGGAAGGATTACACAAGACTGCCCTATTAGTGCTGCCAACATAACGAAACAAAATGACTACTTTTATTAGAGAGAAAATGGTGAAAACAATGTCTCTGTGTCTGTTATGTTTTCACATATTTGAACTCCAGGTGTACATTTGTTCCTTTTGGTTCCTTGGGCTCTTTACATTTAAAAAGGGAAACTCAAGAGGGGGTGCTTGGACACAGAACAGAAGATCTGGTGGGAGAATCCTCCTTACATTCCAGCGTCAAGGAGCGTGGACAGTAGAAGAATGACATCACATCATGCTGGCTCTAAGAGAGAGCGCCTCATTGTGGTGCTAGGACAGCACAAGCACATGCACCGATTCCATTCCAGACAGGAGAGGGAAAGAGCGCACAGGGTTTCCCGGGAGGCGTGTCGTTGTTTCCTAATAGAGAGGTAGAAGCTACCTGACTGAGGGAGTGGAAGGGGGTGCCGTAAAGGAGACAGAATGTACCAAGTCGGTTCTGAGTGAGACATGGGAACCTCAGCACAGGAGAGGATGTTGGCAGTATGGAGGTAGAGACAGACAGAAGCAGAGGGCAGGCAGATGCCCAGGACTCTGACTCGGGTGCCATGAGCACAGTCACTGCTATTCCCTGACAAGGTTTATCAGGCAGAAGTGAGCACAATCTGAGGGGACAGGCTGAGTCAGCTGTGCCAGAGGAACAGCCAAGTTAAAAGACACAAAACAGCTAGAAGAGGTCAATGGGGGAAGAAGGGGGACATATGTAATACTTTCAAAAATAAAGATTAAAAAAAAAAAAAAGACATAATCTGGCTAGCGAAAATTATAAACATTTAATTGGAGGCATTATGAAAATGTTAACAATGTAATTGTTCATTTTTCCTCAATGGATCTATTAATTCAATAAACCCTAGGTAAATTCACAACAGTGTTTTTCAGAGAACTCAAAAAGATAATTCTAGATCTTATGTGGAAGAGTAAAGGGACACAATTATAGGGCCAAATGGTTTACTACTAAATTCTACAAAACATTTAAGGAAGAAATAATAACACATATCTAATACCAATTCCATATAAGCTTTTCCAGAAAACAAGAGGATGAAATACTCCCCATCTCATTTTATGAGGTCATCAGTATCTTAATACTAAAACCAAAACCAGATATTATTAAAACTATAGCCTAACATCTCTCAGGATCATAGACACAAAAATATAGAATGATATATTAACAAACTGAATTCCAAATGTAAAAAGAATGGAAAGTCCATGTAGGAATAAAAGGCTGGCTCATCATTTAAAAATAAATTCATGTAACTGACCCTATTAAAGACTCAGGGGCCTGGCTGGTGTGTGTCAGCTGGTTTGAGCATCCAGGCGAACACCAGAAGGTAGCTGTTTGATTCCTGGTCAGGTTACAAACTCTGGTGGGGGAGTTTGATCCTGGGTTGGGAGTGTGGGGAGGCACCCGATAGATGTTTCTACCTCATGTTTCTCTCTCCTTCTTTCTTTCACTTCCTCCCTCTCCCTTTTCTCTGAAACAAACAAACAAACAAACAAACAAACAAGTTTGGGTTCTGGATTCTTGAATTTATATGCTGAAAATTACAAAATGCTGGTGAAAAAAATCAGAGCATATCTAAATAAATGGGAAGATATTCTATGGTCATGGGTTGAGTACGGAGTATATAGCTCAGTTATTGAGTGTCGACTTGTGAACCAGGAAATCATAGTTCAATTCCTGATCAGGGCACATGCCCAGGTGGTGGGCTCAATCCCCAGTAGCAGGCGTGCAATAGAAAGCCAATCAATGATTTTTTTCTCATCATTGATATTTCTATATATCTCTACTTCTCCCTTCTTCTCTGAAATCAATTAAAAAAATATATATATATTTAAAAAGATGTCAACTCTTCCTAAATCTTTAGATTAAACACAACCCAAATAAAAATTCCATCAAGTTCCTTTTGAAGGTATTGAAAAGGTAATTAAAAAATCTATGTGAGCTGGGACCGGTTTGGCTCAATGGATAGAGCGTAGGCTTGGGGACTGAAGGGACCCGGGTTCGATTCCGGTCAAGGGCATGTATCTTGGTTGCGGGCGCATCCCCGGTAGGGGGTGCGCAAGAGGCAGCTGATCGATGACTCTCTCTCATCGACGTTTCTAACTCTCTCTCTCCCTTCCTCTCTGTACAAAATCAATAAAATATATTAAAAAAAAAATCTATGTGAAAAGGCAAAGTATGTGAAAAGTGACAAAATAATTCAGAAAAAGAACAAAATCAGAGGATATACCTTATCCAATTTAAAACCAACTATGAAGTTATAGTAATCAAAATTGTGGTGTTGGCAAAAGTAAACACATACACACAAATAAGTGAAATAGAACAAGGAGCCTAGAAATATTATCCAAAAACATAGTAAACTCCTTTTTGAAAGATGCATAGTCAATGCAATAGGGAAAGATAGTCTTTTCAACAATTGGCTCTGGATGTTCACATAGGGTAAAAAATATACCTTGACACACATCACATCTTATAGAAAAAATAACACAAATGGATCATAGACTTAAATACAAAAATATAAAACTTCTAAAGAAACACAAAAGAGAAAATCTGTGAGATCTAGTGTTTGGCAATAAATATTTTGATATAGAAAGAAAAGTACAATTGTTGAAAGGAAAAATTCAGCTTTAATAGTAAATTGAGCTTTACCAAAATTAAAAACGTTTGCTCTATGAAAGATATTGTTAAAAGAATGAAAATACATCCTGGCTAATTTGGCTCAGTCGGCCTGCGGACTGAAGGATCCCAGATTCAATTCTGGCTGCGGGCTCGATCTCCAGTAGGGGGCGGGCAAGCGGTAGCTGATCGATTATTCTCTCTCATTATTGATGTTTCTCTCTCTCTCTTGCATCCTCTCTGAAATCAATAAAAATATATTTAAAAGATAAATAAAAGGAGGAAACCAAGATGGGCAGCATAGGGTAGATACCCGAATGCAGCCTACCACAACAAATTTGAATTTAGAACAGGAAAATAAAGGATGCATTGCCCTGAAGCACCGGACAGCTAGCTGAGAGGAGGCTCTGCCATCAGGAAAGGAGAGAGAAGGTGCGCTGACCCTCAGAAACTGTGAGGTACGGAGAACTGTACACGTGAAAAGGTGCTGGCTTACTCCCGGTGCTCAGAGAGGGCGGGCCTAGCTGAGTTCGCTGCTGGCTTATTCCTGGTGCTCAGAGAGGGCAGACAGCTAATGCGCGGCTGGCTTTCTTGTTTGAGAGGAAAACAGAATCACCCTATTGCTCTGATAGACGGCCCCAGTCAGGGAGAGGCCAGACTGTCAGGCAGTGGGCAGAGATCTCTCGGAGGTGTGTGAAGCCAGTGGCCATTACTGTGGGACTTGGGGAGGAGCCGACAGGAAAACAAAGCTTGTCTGCACCACCCTAAAACTCTGACCCATCCAAGCTGAGCACAGAAGCTCTCCCAGAGGCTGGCTTTTTCTAAGGAGGAACTGGCCGGAATCCAAAGATTGTCTGCGCCTTTACCAAAGAGGTGACCGCGCCTGCAACCAATCTTGCGAGATTCACTGCGAATAGGACTTTTCTAAGGCGAGACTGACAGGGAACCAAAGATTGCGCCATCTGAGACTCCGCCGCATCCAAGCGGAGTAGAGAAGCCCCCTAGCTGAGACACTGCTGATCCTCATAGCCAACTGGCTTGGAGATCAACACTTCCCAGTGATACCAACAATAAGCAAGGCTTAACAAGACTGCACACACAGCCCACAAAGGGCTACACCAAGACTGTCCACCGCAGGTAACTGGGAAGGCTGTACTACTGGGCTCTACCAGAACACCTAGTACACAAAACTATTCCATCAAATTAAGGAAACAATTAAAATGCAGATAAGAGGCAGGACACAAAGGAAGGAAATGGAGGAAAAGAAAAGAATGGACACTGAGTTCAAAACTACAGTTATAAGGCTTTTCAAGAATATCCTAAAAAAGGCTGATAAAATAAATAAGACCTTTGAGGATATGAAAAGGGATCAGCTAGAAATAAAAAGGGATCAACTATAAATAAAGAAAACATTGTCTGAAATAAAAAATATCACAGAGTCCTAAAAACAGGCGGAAAGATCGCAAGAATCAAAACAAAGATTTAGAACACAAAGAGCCAGAGGACACTCCTCTGCAGAAGAAGATAAGAAAATCCAGAAAGTTGAAGATAGTGTAAGAAGCCTCTGGGACAATTTCAAGTGAACCAACATCAGAATTATGGGGATCCCAGGAGAGAGAGAGAGCAAGATACCGAAAGAATAGTGGAAGAAATAGTGACAGAAAACATCCCCCACCTGGTGAAAGAAACAGACTTACAAGTCCAGGAAGTGCACAGAACTCCAAACAAAAGGAATCCAAAGAGGACCACAACAAGACACATCATAATTAAAATCCCAAGAGCAGCCGAAACCGGTTTGGCTCAGAGCGTCGGGCTGCAGACTGAAAGGTCCCAGGTTCGATTCCGGTCAAGGGCATGTACCTTGGTTGTGGGCACATCCCCAGTAGGGGGTGTGCAAGAGGCAGCTGATCGATGATTCTCTCTCATTGATGTTTCTCTCTATCCCTCTCTCTTCCTTTCTGTAAAAAATCAATAAAATATATTTTTTTTAAAAAAGATTTCCTATTAAAAAAAAAAATACCAAGAGCAAAAGACAAAGAGAGAATATTAAAAGCAGCAAGAGCAAAGCAGGTAGTTACCTATAAAGGAGCACCCATACGATTGTCAGATGATTTCTCAACAGAAACCATGCAGGCCAGACGGGAATGGCAAGAAATATTCAAGGTGATGAATAGCAAGAACCTACAGCCAAAAATACTCTACTACCCAGCAAAGCTATCACTCAGAATTGAAGGCCAGATAAAGAGCTTCACAAATAAAAAAAGTTAAAGGAGTTCATCACCGACAAACCAGAATTATATGAATTGCTGAAGGGAGTTCTTTAGGAAGAGGAAGAAGATAAAGATAAAAATTATGATCAACAAATACGTAACTATCAACAAGTGAAACTAAAAGCCAAGGGAATTAAAAAATCTGATGAACAATATTAACTGGTGAATATAATAGAATCAGAGGTATTGTCAGAGGAGTGGACTGACAATTCTCAGGGAAAAGGGGATTGGGGGATTGCAGGAAGAGACTGAACAAAAACTGTGCACCAATGGATGGAGGACAATGGAAGATGGGGAAAGGAAAGAGGGTGGGGTGGGAACCTGGTGTAGGGGAGCAAATGAGGGGGGTGGGGGGAAAGAGGAACACATTTGTAATAATCTGAACAATAAATATTTATTTTAAAAAAATAAATAAATAAAAGAATGTAAATATAAGCCACAGATGAAAATAAAATATTTGCAAATCACATTAATAAAGAACACATATCTAGAATAGAGAATACTTAGAGCTCAAATATAAGAAAATAATAACAATAAAATGAGCAGAAGATTTGAACAATTTATAAAAGAAAATATACAAAAATTCACAAAAGAAAATATATGGATAAAAAGTGAGCATATGTCATTGTCAATCACTTGTCATTAGAGAAAAAAATTAGAACCACAATGAGTTATCTCTATATATGTTAGAAATGGCTAACATTAAAAAACAAAAACAAAAACCCAACACACAAAAAGCCAAAAACCCTGGCAATACCAAATGCTGGTAAAGTTACTCTACTTTGTAATTTGTTTTCCAGGGAAACTACTTCATATGTATAATAGAGTTGAAAAAATAAGTCAATAAATGGTAGATAATGGAAGCCAGGTTTTCATGGTCATAGAAAGAAGTTGCAAATATGCAAAGAAGGAAGGTTAGAATTAATCATGTCGAAGAACGAGGTTATAAAGAACAGAGTTCAACTATGCAACCACAAGAATGAATTTCACAGACATAATACAATATATAGTAGAATTCCATTTATATTAATTCTAGAGCAGTCAAAATGAATTTATGGTGACAATCTAAATATGGTTACCTTTCCAGGACTGAGCATCAGAGCCTCCTGGCTTGCTGGAAGCACTGTGCGTGTTTGACATAGGAGGTGGCTGTTCAGGCTCATATCTATGTAAAAATTCATCAGATTGAACTCTAAGATCTATACTAATAAAAGAGCAACATGCTAATTGACCATACCTTCATGACATTCACCAGCCATTTTGGTGTGAATATGCAAATTAACCTAACAAAATTGCAGGTTAATTTGCATACACAGGTGTTGAGAAGTCAAGGGCGGGGCGGACGCTTGCATTGTCACCATGGTGATGACACAGGGTTCTGCACCACCCCAGCTGCTCCAGGCCTCTGGGCAGCATGGGAAGGCAGAAAGGCAGCTCCGGCCAGAGCGAAGGCAGTGCCGGCAGCCAGGGGAAGGAAGGCCCCTTCCTGCACGAATCTTGGTGCATGGGGCCTCTAAGTATATGCATATTGCTGTATGCAGGTAAAAAACGAGAAGAAATAAGAGTACAGTGGGGCTAAGGAAGTCTAGTGCAGGCAACTTTTCCAAGAATAAGACAACTTCTCCAAGAGTTTGGTTGTACAAATGTATTAGTCACCATTTAAAAACTGCCATGGAGCCAGGGCTGTTTTGTGTTTTATTTTCCCCAAGTAAGCACCCTGAGCACAGATTTTTGTTTTGTTATATTGAATAGAGGTAGATAAAAATAGAAAAGAGCCGCCGAAACCGGATTGGTTCAGCGGTAGAGCGTCGGTCTGCAGACTGAAAGGTCCCAGGTTTGATTCTGGTCAATGGCATGTACATTGGTTGCGGGCACATCCCCGGTGGAGGGTGTGCAAGAGGCAGCTGGTCAATGTTTCTCTCTCATCGACGTTTCTAGCTCTCTCTCTCTCTCCCTTCCTCTCTGTAAAAAATCAATAAAATATATTTAAAAAAATAAAAAATAAAAATAGAAAAGAGCCTGGTGGCTTGGCTCAGGGGTTGAGCATGAGCCTATGAACCAAGAAGTCAGGGTTCGATTCCCGGTCTGGGCACGTGCCTGGGTTGCAGGCACAATCCCCAGTGTGGGGCATGAAGGAGGCAGCCGACCAATGATTCTCTCTCATCACTAATATTTCTATCTCTCTCCCCCTCTGCCTTCCTTGCTAAAGTTTAAAGAAAGAAAGAAAGAAAGAAAGAAAGAGGAAATAAGTAAAGAAGTAAGGCTCCAGGGAAGGCAGGAGATGTGAGTTAGTCTCAGGCCCAGCAGGGGGCGAGATCTCTTCCATAGAGAAAGGGAGCTACAGGTATGAGACAGGCAGAGACAGATCTGTCAGTGGAGGAGCAAGAGCGGGACATGAAGTGGGTTGTATGCTGAGACATCAGTGGCTCAGGGAGTGGTCAGTTTGGACTAATGGTTGAGTGGGTGGAGGAGCTGGTGCAGCAGACAGAGCTGACCAGAAACAGAGAGCAGGTGTGGGCCGCCCAGTTAGCAGTGTGCTGGCATCACATTGGCAGTAGGTGATGAGGGCTCAGACTAGGATGTAGGTGGTGGAGCTCATGGAGGCAGTGGATTCACTTGATGTGAAAAAACAAAATAAGCAAGATGAGGATGGCTGGGTGCTGGGCTAGACGGAGGCAGTGTCATGGGTTTGGCCAAGGTTGTTTCTCCTTCTTGACTGTCTGAGTGACAGGACCATCCAGTGAAACTAGAGGATGGAGGAGTGGGCAAGATCGTGATTTCCTTCTAGGCATGAAGAATTTGATGGGATATGTGGAATATAATTGAAAATTAAGTGTTTGGAAGGGACTCAGCCAGACTGAAGAGGGGCTGGTGAGAGACTCTCGCTGAGCAAGACAGGCTCTGCAGTGGTGCCAATCAACACCCTCGATGACTCCAACTGCCTTCAGCAGCCAAGATGTAGGACAGACAGATTCAAATGTCACCTTAGTTTTTACAGTAAAAGAGGGGCAGGAAGCCAGTGGAGCCAGGATTGCTTTTGCCTGACAAACAGGAGGATGGAAGAATGGTGCAGAAGGGTGGGAACAGATTACAGGCAGAGAGAGTAAGATAGGCTCCTTTCTTCCGAATCCAGAAGGGCATGAGAGACATTATGCATTGTGGTTGATATCATCACATGAAAGATCCTAACAGCTGTCTTTTTTAAAAAAAATATATTTTATTGAATTTTTACAGAGAGGAAGGGAGAGAGCTAGAGAGCTAGAAACGTTGATGAGAGAGAAACATCGACCAGCTGCCTCCTGCACACCCCCCACCGGGGATGTGCCCCCCAACCAATGTACATGCCCTTGACCGGAATCGAACCTGGGACTTTCAGTCCGCAGACCGACGCTCTACTACTGAGCCAAACAGGTTTCGGCTAGCTGACTTCTTTTGAGCTCCTAACTATAGCTTAGGCATGGTGCTAAGCATTTTCATGCATTACATGCAAACAGCCCAATGAGTTAGAAATTATTTCTACTTTTTTCAAGAGTAGGCGGAATATACCAAACCCATTTGCCTTCTCCTTGGGCACATGGCTAAATCCTCCCTCCCTGCTGCATCCAGAGAGGGATGGCCAGCTGCTGAGCTCTCAAACAGAATGTGAGGTGAAGCGATGCATATGTGCAGCTGGACTCTACCTTCCTCTCGGGTGCCCTCTGCAGTAGAATGAGGCCAGGGTAACCACATATGGATGACAAAGGGCACATGGGTCTCTCAATAACTGTGTGAATGAACTCCCAGGTTGACCCACTTGGACCCTGTTATGACTGAGAAAAATATTTTTTATGTATTGAGCCACTGACATTTTGTAGGTTATCTATTACTGCAGTGAGCATTAACTGAGCCTAACTTAGCTAAACGAGGCCAAGCAATTGGAGCCAGAGCCTCACTCTTACCTAACAGAACAGGTTCTTCATCTGGCGGCAGTAAAAAAATGTGTTGAAGAGGGAGGACAGAAGGACACCCAGACACCCAGGCACCCAAGGAGGCCGCAACAAGGAGCGCCCCACGGAGTCCCAGAGGCGCTGGTTTCCAGTGAGGCTGCCACAACACCCACTGTCTAAACCTCGGCCACCCACCTGCACAGGCTCTTTGGGAGAGGCCTCTCTTCACAATCCATAGCTCCTGCCTGTGCTCCGATAGGTGGATAAGCTCTGACCTGGGAACTGGATGTCCTATTTGTGGAGGAAGAAGATCACATATTTTAGCAAAGACAAAAATAAATGCCTGGGCCTTCAGGATAGAGAAGACCTTGGAGGGAGGCTGCTCTTGTCCAAGTTGATCTGCAACAGGGAACCATCGCCAAGAATACCATCACTGGGTCCTAAACACTGAATCAGGTAGTGCTGGCTGTCTATGCTGATCCACCTCCCTTGACCTCCATCCTAGAGAATCCCCCAAATCGTCCTGATGCAGTCACAGAACCCATGTGCACCAGTGCTCACAGAACAGTGTGACCACTGCTCCTGACTGCTTTTCTTTACGCCGGCCCATTTTAATTTTATCTTAACACATGCCGGCAAAAAGGGAATCGTGTCAATTTGAGAAATTGAAAAACTAGTGTCATTTGCCACAAATAGAAAGTTACTACAAGAAAATCAAAATAGCACTATTTAAAAAATATATATTTTTATTGATTTTAGAGGGAGAGGGAGAGATAGAAACATCAATGATGAGAGAGAATCGTTGATTGGCTGCCTCCTGCACACCCCCTACTGTGGATTCTGCCTTGACCAGAATCAAACCTGGGACACCCTTTAGTCCACAGGCCAACACTCTATCCACTTAGCCAAACCAGTTAGGGCCAAAATAGCACTATTAAGTCTCGGTGAACTCAGGGCTGTGAGTCTGAGGCTGTCTCCTCTGTTGAAGAGAGAAATTACCAATAGTCAAGGGGAATTTAGAAAGATTCAGCTTGGCCCTGGCCAGGTAGCTCAGGTGGTTAGAGCATTGTCTCCCTACTCCAAGGCTGTGGGTTCACTCCCTGGTCAGGGCACATACAAGAATCAACCAATGAATGCATAAGAAAGTGGAACAACAAACTGATGCCTCTCTCTCTTCTTCTCTTTCTAAAATAAAAAACAAATAAAAAAAGACTCAGCAAAAAATACTTTCTTCCTTAATCAGAGACTGGGAACATTTGGCCCATATAAGGCCCACAAAATCATTTGCTCTGGCACTGCCAAGGCATTAGGAGTGATTTAATTAAATGTTTGACCAAATATAGCATGCTAGTTTTTAAAATAATTTTTTTAATTGTCTAAAGTATTATATGTTTCCTTTTTCTCCCACCGACCCCTCCCCAGCCACTCTCACCCCTCAGAGCAGGCTTATTTATTTATTTAAAAAATATATTTTCTTGATTTTTTACAGAGAGGAAGAGAGAGGGATAGACAGTTAGAAACATCAATGAGAGAGAAACATCAATCAGCTGCCTTTTGCACACCCCCTACTGGGGATGTGCCTGCAACCAATGTACATGCCCTTAACCCGAATCGAACCTGGGACCTTTCAGTCCATAGGCTGCCACTCTATCCACTGAGCCAAACCAGTTTCAGCAGGCTAATTTTTAAAGGTGATAATTGTGTATGGCCCTTGAATGATGTTATAAACATCATAAAAATGATCCTTGGCAAAAAAAAAAGGTTCCCCACCCCTGCCCTAAACCATCAGCAAGCAGGAAAGAAAAAAAAGGGAATGGCTTTCTCTGATTGCTCTTCAATGCCATTTGTTGTGTTTGTATTCCCTAAAATTATCTCATTCCAAGAGAGGAATGGCCCAGCTTCAGGACACAAGAGACAAACAGGTAGGCATCATGGGTCAAAGAAGCCTTTTCAGCATTTTTTAATACTCACCCGAGGATATTTTTCTTTTGGTTTTTTGAGAGGTTGGAAGGGAGGGAGGAAGTGGGGGGAGAGAGAGAAACATCAACGTGAGAGAGACACATCGATTGGTTGTCTCCTGCACATGTAGGAGCGTGTCTTCATGTGTCTCCCGCACAGGGCCCTGATGTAGGCCACAGATTGAGCCTGCAACTGAGGTATGTGCCCTTGATCGGGACCCTTCAGCACCCAGCCATCCTGCAGTGTTCCCGATCAAGGGCTCTAATCACTGAGCAACTGGCCAGGGCCAAGAAGCCTTTAAAATGAATTGTTGTTTAGAACCATGACCAGTAGGACTCACACCTCCGGGTGTGCTGTCTGGTTCACTCATTTCTGAACAACATCCCATTCCTCATGGGTCCTGCTGACTGGGCTGTGAACCAATGGAGCTTGGCTCCTCAGCTTCCATCTCATGGGAATCCAGAGAAGGGACCGTCTAGGCCAGCCTGTGTTGAAGTCCAGGTTGAGAGGTAAAGGGAAGTGTGGGCTCGGGACATCTGTGCAGAGACAGCCAGGTGGGAAGGAAGAGAGAGAACTAAAAAAGTATATCCAGAGAGAAGTAGAGACAAGGAATTGGGGGCTTCTTAGAGCAAGGACAGGAGTGGCCATTTCTAGCTACCAACTCCCTGTGGCAGAAAAAGCCAATCTGCCGAGACCCACAAAGAGACATGAAGAACGGAAGTCTCCGGGGCAAGGTCTAATCAGGATTCCTTCCATTTCCTGGCTGTAGCCTCTCATGATGCTGGACTGTACATCTTGCCCTTGGATATTAAAGAAACCCATATTTCCTCCTACAAACCCTTCTCCTTTGGTATCGGAGCCATTCTGAAGAGAACTACATTTCTTGCCCAAAATTTCCTGTAGAAGATATGGGGAGACAGACAGGAGAACATGAAACCAACACACACTGGGCTGCGGGCAGGAGAGAGGGAGTCTTCAGGACAAAAGGTGAATGAAGGAGCTGCAGGTCCCCTCAGAAAGGCCTTACCCAGAGAGACCAGGAGCCTACAGATTTCCAGCATCACCTCCCTGTACAGGGTCCTCTGGGCAAGGTCCAGCTGCTCCCACTCGTCGGGGGTAAAGGTCACTGCCACATCCTTGAAGGTAATTGATGTCTGAAAAGTCAAACAGAGGTAGCTTCGTTGGCCCAGGGCCAGTCAGATAAGATTAGAGCCTCGTGCCCAGTCGTTTGTAAAGAACCACAGGGCCCTGTGTGGTATGTGAGCACATGGGCCCCTTCCCAAGCTCCAATCCCCTCCCACCTTGTGGGAATATAATGAAGGCCATCTGTAAGGGTGCTGTGGGACCTGGGAGCCTGGAGCTCCTCAAGCAATGGCCAAAAGGAACCTGTGCCGAGTGTGAGCCTGGATTGTAAGCAGCTGGGTTTTAATCACACAGCTTGTACACGAGCCCGTCCACCCTGCATGCACAATTTGTGACTCTGTTTTGTGTACTCTATGCAACCCTGTCCTATCAAAGCCTGTGTTGTGAAGACTTCACCGACAGGCCGCCCCCAATATGCACGAAGTCCTCTTAAACTCATGTCTTTCCCAGCCAGTCCTCTGAGTAATTTCCTTGGAACTGGCAAGCAGAATTCAGACCTCAGCTCTTTGCATAACAAGTCCCAAGACCAGTATCATCGAGCGCTTCCTGGGAACCTAATTCTGTTCCAGGTTCCAAGGACTCAGACACTGCTGTTGGACCAACTGGGACTGTGTTTGAGACAAAAGCTTTCTATGCTGGAACCATTCACAAAGACACAAGACAGTAGCAAGGCCAAATGGCCCCAGAGGCATAGACAGCAAGCACTTTGAGAATGAAGAGGAAGAGGGAGGACATGACAATGATCAGAGCACCAGTCATGACAAAAGCAGAGGCAGTCGAGCCTCGCTGGTCCTTACCGCATACCTGCGCCATGGTGAGCTTCCCAGGCCATACTCTAGCAATTACACATTCCCGCTCTGGAGCTAGATTCCGCTCTTGAATATAGTCTCCTGGGAATGATTCTTGCCTGATCTGTAACCTGGGGGAAGTAAACTTATTTCCCTGAGCCTCAATTTCTGCATCAACACAGTAACAGTGCTCACCTCACTAGGTGGTTGTAAGAATTAAAGAAAAATGTTCATGTCAGTGCTCTATGTGTTTTTCCTTACTCCACCCATAGCTATGATATAAACACCATTATCCTCTCCACAGCAGTCAACGAGGCTCGGGCAGTTCTAGCAAGTCACTGGAGTCACATGTCCCAGGAACACAGGCAGGATTTGAACCTCTGTAAAACACACACAATCTCTGAGAGGCACATCTCAGAGATATCCCCTGCCTATGTACATATACTTCCATTTGGCTGGGAGGTCCGCCATCCTGCAGTGTTCCCAATCCACATGCCAAAGGGACACCTGCAAAGTTTTCATTAGTTGTAATCTCTAGGCTGCCCAGTGCACTGTGGGTAGAAAGGTGACTAAGAATACACATTCCAGTCCTAACCGGTTTGGCTCAGTGGACAGACTGAGCTGCCTTGGCCTTTGGACTGAAGGGTCCCAGGTTCAATTCCGGGCAAGGGCATGTACCGTGGTTCCAGGCACATCCCCAGTAGGGGGTGTGCAGGAGGCAGCTGATCAATGTTTCTCTCTCATTGATGTTTCTAACTCTCTATCACTCTTCCTTTCTCTCTGTAAAAATTAATAAAATATATTAAAAGAAAAAAGAGGGATCTCTTTGGGACAGCATGGAGGGACCTGGAAATATTATGCTAATTGAAATAAGCCAATCTGAGAAAGACAAATATTATATGACCTCACTTATTTGTGGAATCTAATGAACAGAATGAATCAATAACAAAATAAGATCCAAAGCATGGAGGCATGGAACCTCCCTGTGGGGTTGGGGAGATGAGAAGAGATAAACCAAAGAACTTATATGCTTATAGGCATAGCCCATGGACCTGGGCAATAGAGTAGTGAAGCCATGGGTAGGGGATGGGAGGATGGGAGTAAAGGGAGAGAAAAGGGGATATATCTATAATACTATCAACAATAAAAAGTTGATATATATATTTTTATTGATTTCAGAAAGGGAGAGAGAGAGATAGAAACATCAAAGAGAGAAAATCATTAATCAGCTGCCTTTGCACGCTCCCTACTGGGGATCAAGCCTGCAACACCGGGCATGTGACCCGGACCCTTCAATCTGCAGGCTGACCGACAGATGCTCTATCCACTGAGCCAAACTGGCTAAGGCTAAAAAGTATATATGTATTTTTAAAAGGGAATATGACTAACTTACTCTAACAGTGTAATTTATATTTTGGAAAAATAGGGTAAATAAAACAAATTTTCTTAGAAAAAAGAGGAGTTTAAGATTACCTGAAGGTGGGAGAATTGTTAAGGTACAGAATTGTTAAGAAGATTAACTAGCCGAAACCGGTTTGGCTCAATGGATAGAGCGTTGGCTTGGGGACTGAAAGGTCCCGGGTTCGATTCCGGTCAAGGGCATGTACCTTGGTTGCGGGCATATCCCCAGTAGGGGTTGTGCAAGAGGCAGCTGATGGATGACTCTCTCTCATCGATGTTTCTAACTCTCTTTCTCTTTCCTTTCCTCTCTGTACAAAATCAATAAAATATATTTTAAAAAAAAATCACCTCCTCAGAGGAATGAATGAACTGGTTTCAAGAGAAATTGAGCTAAGACCACCTTTGTTTAAAAAAAAAAAAAAAATGAAGATTAACTATCCCTTGAGGGTGGTTATCCCTCCAAGAGGTCTGGAAAAGAGAATTATTTCTGGCATTTCAAAGGTGTGTTAAACTAGATGCACAAGAACAATAGACAGGACTTATTTAAGGCAAAGATAAACTTTTTTATTAAAGAAAGTATATGCCTGGGGTTATGACTACCTAATTAGGAAATTATGATCAGATCACCCTTGAGGTCGCTTTTAGATAGATATATTACAATGCCCCTTTTTCATCCACACTGAAATGTAATGGATTTGCTTTTCAAATGTGAATGTCTTAAAAGGTAGACTGATTTACTACTGTGAACCAGTCAAGTCAACCGCACTGACAAGATGGCAACTGCAAAAGGTGAGTTTGGGGGCCTCCCTAACAGTGATCTTCCTTGCAGTGGCAGAGGAGCAGCAGTTCCAAACGCGTTTTCTCCACCCACCTTTCCCCCCAGGCTACCCACCTCCTACTCCACTCATCAGTTTGGTGTGAGGCCAGAGCCCAGAAGGCCCAGGGGCAGACCCTTCTTGAAGTGAGACCCTAAGATTAACACCTTCCCGGACGCACCTCTCTGGCAAATGGGTACAGAATGATGCTCCCTGGGCAGTGCTGGGGGACAGATACACATAACAGAAGTTCACTTTCCACTTGCCGAAACCAAGAGGGGACAATGGTAAACATTCCCATCTTATACCTGAGATAAGATAGGCCCAGGGTAAGGAGTGACTCGGGCAGGTCACACCCTGGAATGGGTGCCAGCCAGAATCCACACGGAGGTCTCAGCATTCAACGGCCTACGTCCCACCCAGCGGGAAGGTCCACGTGGGTCGCGCCTACCGTGGGGATTCTGAGAAGCTACACTTCTTTCCATGTGGCAACCAGTGATTGCCAGAAACAGAATCTCTCCATGTAAACCCTATCCTGGAGTCCACACCATGGGCTGTGCGTGACCCCATGCCAGAATACCCGGACCCAACGGCAGCGAGGGGAAGGCGAGGACTCCCGCACTTATACACGTCAGGGCGCTGGCAGTGCAGGAGTGGGAGGGATGGGGCCACCTCCCCTCACCTGCGCCAGGTCCATGAGAGCCAGGGAAGTCCGTGCGCGGAGCACAGCCCGGACAGGGGACGGCAGAGAAGGTCCCGCAGCTCGCCGACCCCTCCTCCGGGTTCTACCAGCGCCGGAATGGCTGTCCTCTGCTTCTGCAGCTTCTCTGCGAGGTCCCGAAGAGCCTGGAGAGCCAGAGAGCACAGAACCCCAGGTTTGAAGAACTGACTCGCCGGTACCGCCGGAAGTCCCACCCAACCATGCCGCAGCCCCTTTCTAGGTCCCGCAGAGGGGGGATTCTCACCTCGCGCAGACTTCTGGGTAATGTAGTTTCTCTCTGGCAGGCAGCCTGGCCGGGGAGCTCTTTCCAATCTCATGCATCACCAACCTACTGGGAAAAGGTGGCTTTTAGGAAGGGGATGAGGCTTTCATCATCTTAATGGGGAAGCACCAGATTGATCTGCCACTCATCACAGAAGACTCGACACATGACTTCATATGCCACTATTGGGAAGAAAGAAACTTGCCCCTATCCTTAAGGTTTTTTTTCTTTCTTTCTTTCTGAACTAATAATAAAATCTATAAAAGATAGATTAGACTGTCAAATTACAGCTGGTACGGTAGGGTGATATGGGGGAGATAAGAGATCAACCGAAGGACTTGTATGTATGCATATAAGCATATCCAATGGATGCAAAACTCTGGGAGGGGCATGTATGGAAGGAGGGGGGCAATGGTAAGATATGTACACATATAATACCTTAATAAAAAATGAAAAAAAAAAGATAGATTAACAAGAGAAAATAACCAAATTTAATACATACGTACTGTGAACAAAAAATGGTGTATGTAGCCAAAACCAGTTTGGCTCAGTGGATAGAGCGTCATCCTGTGGACTGAGGGGTCCCGGGTTCGATTCCGGTCAAGGGCATGTACCTTGGTTGTGGGCACATCCCCAGTAGGGGGTGTGCAAGAGGCAGCTGATCAATGATTTTCTCTCATCGATGTTTCTAACTCTCTAGCCCTCTCTCTTCCTCTCTGTAAAAAAATCAATAAAATATATATATTTAAAAATGGTGTATGTAGTAAATCTGATAAGCTCAGTGACTACAGTAACCTCACACGGTGATCTGATCATAAATTCCTAACTGGGCAGGTCGTAGTGGGTAGTCACACCCCAGATCTATAACTTCCTTAGGTTTGCCTTTGCCTTAAGCAAGCCTGTTCATTGTTCGTGTGTATCTAGGCTAACACACCTTTGAAATGCCAGAGTAATTCTCTTTTCCAGCACTCTTGAAGGGGTAACTACTGTTAACGAAAAAAACCCATTGAAACCTGTAAAGCATTTTAGTGAGTTTATTTGAGCCAAACTGTCGACATATGCCGGGAAGCAGAACCTCAATGGATTGAGATAATGCTCCAAAGAATGGCGGGGTTACATTTATATTTATATACTGAAATTAAAGGAGGGACATAAGTGGGTTACATGAAATTCATTGGTGATGGAGTAAGGAGGCGGGAGAAAGCAAAGCGGAGGGAAATCCCTGGGATTGGATAAAAAGTAAAATGATGGACGACTACTTAGGTGAGTGCAGGAACAATTAACATGCATCAGTCCTGGTGCCCACCACAATTGGTTGTGCCCCAGGGGCTCCAGAAAAAGAGAAGTTACAAGTTACCCAGACCTCTCATAGATATATTAGGTCTAGTAATAATTAATGTCGTTTTCTAATACCTTTTTTTAAAATCAAATTTATTTAAACAATACAACAAAATTTAATCAACAATATAGTTGCTGTTTTTTTCTACTACTTGTGCCCAACTCTCAGGAAGCATTTTAATCCCTCTGTTGTAAAATTCTTGTGATTTTGATGCAAAAAATTCGGTCAATGCATTTTTGAGGCATTCTTCATTATTAAATTTTTTTCCAAGAAGAAAGTTTTGCAAAGAACGAAACAAATGGTAATCGGAAGGGGCAATATCAGGAGAATATGCAGGTTGAGGGAGAACTTCCCATTCCAACTGGCGCAGTTTTTCAGCAGTGATTCTTGCAGTATGCGGTCGTGCGTTATCGTGGTGAAGAATTACGCCCTTCCGATTAATCAGCGAGGGTTCTTTTTCTCTTAAAGCTTGGGCTAACCTTTCCAATTGGGCACTATACACTGCACTTGTAATGGTTTGGTTAGATGGTAAAAGTTCATAATGAAGAATTCCTTTAAAATTCCACCAAACACACAACATCACTTTTTTCGCATGCAAGTCAGGTTTTGGCGTGGGCTATGGAGCCTCATTTTTGTCCAACCATTGGGGCCGCCTTTTCAAATTAACATACAGCACCCATTGTTCATCTCCAGTAACAATTTGCTCTAAAAACGGCAAACGGTTTTGACGAGAGAGGAGCGAACTGCAAATTGTGACTCTTTGATTACGGTTGTTGTCGGTCAACTCATGAGGAACCCATTTTCCAAACTTTTGGACTTTGCCAAGTGCACGCAATTGATTGGAAATTGTTTTTTGTGAACAATTTAAAGTTGTCGCAAGCTCTTGTTGGGTAATTTGAGGATTTTGCACCAAAAGAGCTTGAAGAGCTTCTTGATCAAAATTGGACACACGGCCTCGACCACTCTTGTCATCTAACGAAAAATTTCCCTCGCAAAATTTCTCAAACCAACGCTGGCATTTTCTGGCGCTAACTGCATCTTGACCAAGAGCACTACAGATGTTTTTTGCAGCCTCACTTGCTTTTCTTCCTAATTGGAACTCGTAAAGCATGCAGTGCCGAATATGCTCTTCATCCGCCATCTTCTTAGCCCTAGTTTTGCAACAAAAACCAAACCAAACACAAACTTTTTCAAGCAAAACTTGTTAATTGCACTTCACACGTTCTGTAGATACCACATGTTTGAAGGTTATGTCAATACAAGCCAACGCCAAGCAAGATTTTAAAAGAATGTTTAAAAACGACATTAATTATTACTAGATATTATCTTAGAGGCAGGAAGGCAGATGGGCTCAGTAAAGAAGATCTAAGTAGCCGAAACCTGTTTGGCTCAGTGGCTAGAGCGTCGGCCTGTGGACTGAACGGCCCCGGGTTCGATTCCGGTCAAGGGCATTTACCTTGGTTGTGGGCACATCCCCAGTAGGGGGTGTGCAAGAGGCAGCTGATGGATGTTTCTTTCTCATCGATGTTTCTAACTCTCTATCCCTCTCTCTTCCTCTCTGAAAAATCAATAAAATATATTTAAAAAAAAAGATCTAAGTTGATCTTTGTCAGGTGAGATATCGGCCTAGAACATGACTACCCACTATAACCTGTTTGTAGTTAGACTGTTTAGTAGCAGGCGAAACTCGAGGGCACCTCACTCTCAGAGGTGCTTACAGCGAATACTGGAGGACCCTGAGAAACACTGAGACTCAGGAGCCGCAAAGGGCATGGCTGACGTGGCTGATGGAAGCCAAGGCTATAGGCTGTACCATGAAACTCTGCCCCATTCAGGCAGAACACAGAGACTTTTAAGGCTACCAACTCAGGGAAGCTGCAAAAATGCTGAGACAAGAAAACAGATCACAAACGAAAGAAATGGAGGATAAAAAGCGACTGGATATAGAGTTCAAAACCACACTTATAAGGTTCAAGAATCTCCTAGAAAAGGCCGATAAAATAAACGAGACCTATGAGGATATGAAAAGGGATCAACTAGAAATAATAAGGGATCAACAAGAAATAATAAGGAATCAACTAGAAATAAAGAATACATTGTCTGAAATAAAAAAATATTATACAGAGGGAGGATCCAAGATGGCTGCTTGGGTAGACACCTAAACGCAGCAACACACAACAATTTCAATGGAATACAACTAAAATGTAGAGTGGACATCGCCCAGAGCTACAGGTAGTCGACTGACTGAAAATTCTACAAGAAGGAAAGAGAAAACCAGAAGGAAAATCAGAGGAGCTGAAAAAAAGCCTAAGGTACGGAGACATGCTACGCGCCCGCACGCACGCGTGCGGAGAGGTCGCAGCCTGAGAGGAGGAGAGGGCTGGGTGCTGCCTGGCGTTCCCTAGCAGGAAGGAAATAAAACCCCCAGCCTGAGCTAAACCCCCGAACCAGCAGCACTGACCCCCAGTTATGAGCCAGACCCTGGGGACCCAGGCTCCGGCGGGGGAGACAGGGCTGTGAGGTGGAATCCCAAGCAAGCAGCGAAAAGCAGGGCCCCCAGAGTTGCGTGCACACTGCGCGCAGAGGACTGAATGTTGACTCTGATGCTGGATTACCCTAGCCGGAAGAAACAAAGCCTCCGGCGGCGCTGAGCCTCAGTCCGGACTGCTCTGAACCCCAGTCCTGGACCAGACCCTGGGGACCCAGGCTCAGGCAGGGGGAGACAGGGCTGTGAGGCGGAATCCCAGGGGAGTGGCAAAAAGCGGAGCCCCCAGACTCGCGCGCACTGCGCGCAGAGGACAGTCTGTTGACTCTGATCCTGGACTCCCCTAGTGGGAAGGAGAAAAAAAAAAAAAAAGCTCCAGACTGGAGGAATGCGACAGGGAGCAGGAGCCCCTGCCGGACACCAGCCAGGACACCAGCCAGCCGGGTGCCGGCAGGGAGCCGGGAGATGGGGCCCCCAGGGCGGGGGGGGGGGTGCCCCTGAGCCATTGACCTCTGAGCACGGGCAACGGAGCCAAGGCCGGGGGCTGCTTCCTGGGTGGCGCCGACCCCGGCAACAGGATGGAGCAGCGCGGGAGCCCGCGGAGAACAAAGGGGTGCCACAGGCCTGAGCTCCCAGGACAAGGAGGAAGAAACCAAAGTTCTCAATGTGAAGAAATCAAGTGAGAGCAAAAGATAGTAAAATTACTTAAGAAAGAATACAAAGAAGATCTTGAAAAATCAAAGACTAAGTCAGAACTCAACTCACCAGCCAACATTGCAACATAAATGCGTTAAAAAAAAAAAAGAACAGAATGTTGGAACAGCGGCGGCCAGGCCTAGAGTGCCCAGGCACAAAGCAATGGCAACCGGGCCCAGAGCAGCAACGGCCAGGCCCCAGAGCAGCAGCAGCCAGAACCAGAGCAACAACAGCCAGACCTGGAGCAGCCAGACCTGAGGCGGAGGCAGCCAAGCCCAGGGTGGCCAGTCCAGGAATACCCAGACCCGGAGTGGCCGGACCCGGAGAAGCCGGGCCCAGAGCAGCCGGGTTGGGAGCAGCCAGGTCCAGAAGAGCAGTAGCCAAGCCCGAAGCATCCATGCTGGGAGCGGCCAGACTCGGAGCGGCCGGGCCCGGGGCAGCCGGGCCCAGAGCAGCCAGGTCTGGTGCGGCCAGGCCCGGAGCAGCAGCTGCCAGGCTGGGAGCGACCAGGCCCGGAGCAGCCGGGTCTGGTGTGGCCAGGCCCGGAGCAGCAGCTGCCAGGCTGGGAGCGGCCAGGCCCAGAGCAGCCGGGTCTGGTGCGGCCAGGCCCGGAGCAGCAGCTGCCAGGCTGGGAGTGGCCAGGCCCGGAGCAGCGGCTGCCAGGCTGGGAGCAGCCATGCCCGGAGCAGCCGGGTCTGGTGCGGCCCGGCCCGGA